CTGGGAAAATGAACAGCAGACCCCAATCTTATCCAAAGGAATATTGACAACTGATTGCTGCTGGATGAGGAACAGCTCACCCTCCTAAAACAGGGATCTCTAGATAGGCTGACTAGATTCACCAGAAGGGCAAGTGGGAGGGAATGGCTGGGGTTGCCAACAACGCAGCAGACAGTAGCAGGGATAACAGAGCATAGGGGCTCTAGTGGGGGGAGGGAGGCTGTGGGGGGGTGCTACCTGGGAAGTGGGTGTACAAGTAAAAAAAAATAATTCTTCAAAGCATAAAAATTTGCTCCTTAGTAATTGGTGGATATGAAAAACATTACCATTGAAATCTACCTGATGACTTTATATCCATGCTCAGATGCCAGGAGCTCAGAAAGTAACCAACTGTGACTAGTAATAATCAGTATATAGAGAGATTATAAATGTATGTGCATCTTAGTGTCAATTGTAGTGAAACTGTGTACTTTCATAGTGAAATGGAGATCTTTTTTAAAGTTTAAAACCTCATTTAATTCTATGTCTTATAGGGGTTATATGGAGTACAATATTGTATAACTGTATTAATTCAACTGTAACCCTAAAAATTTACAGCCAATTTTGAAAGAGATGCATCTTAGCTCTGGAAATTGTTATTGAATATGTCAATGCTTGTAATGAAATGCTTCTTCTGATTTTGTGGTTATTAAATAAATAATAAAAAAGAAAATGACTAAAATTCATTATATGCATATATGAAATTGTCAAATAATAATTAATTTAAAACAAATTAATAATGATAGTTTATAAGGTTATCTTAAGTAATAAACTACATAAATAAAAAAATGAATTTTTCTGTATGAAACTTTATTTTAATAATGAAATGGAGATCTTTTTTAAAGGGTAAAACCTCATTCAATTTTATATCTTATAGGGTTTATACTGAGTACAATATTGTATAACTGTATTAATTCAACTGTGAACCTAAAAATTGTATAGCCGCTTTTGAACCGCCTGCCTCTGCCTCCCAAGTGCTGGGACCACAGGTGTGCACCACCATGCCTGGCTTAAATAAATAATTAAAATAAAATAAAGTAAAATAAAATAAAAATATTTACTACTAAGATAAAAAAAAACCACCATACATGAAGGCATGCATTTGCAATCCCAGTATTGAAGAGATGGAGATCCCTGGGGTGGGCTGTGCATTCAGGCTAATGAAATCAGCAAGTTCTAGGTGAAGTGAGAGATCTTGTCTCAAAAAACAAGGAAGAAGACTCTTGATAAATGATAGCTGTGACTGTCCTCTGTGAACACACACACACACACACACACATACACACACAAGCATATGCACTCCTACCTCTCTCCCCCCATCCACATATGCACACACACACATGCACACACATACACACATACACACACACATACACATACACACACATACACATACACA